AATCATTGAAACAAGCTGCTGTAGATGCACGTCTAGAGTTTAAAACAAAAAATGATATACCTGCGGAAACAGCTGCATATTGTTTAATTTTACACGATCGTATAGTTAAGTATAATCCAATAAGTGGTAACATTACAAAACTTGTATAAGTATTATAATATAATAAACATGTATACTTTTTTATCAAATAAATGTATTTTAAAAATTTTAAACGTATTCAATATTTTTAATAATAATGATAAACCTTATCCCCCAGCTCATTCCATGAGATATACCGACTAGGGGCGTCATGTCTGTACGCCACCGTCGATAATATTCCACCCCCCACACTTAATCACATATATTTTTTTTTCTTTCATCAATCTGACGCATCATCGATCGATCATCGGGGAGAGGGTTATAGGGCCGAGGGGGCATGGGGCCTGCGGGGGGGCATCACCCACGTCGATAACTACCGACCGGGCATACACACGTGCACATGCACATGCACGTGCACGTGCACATGCTCGGTCGGTTACAATGCAAACCGTCGATACAAAATCGGCAGATAAAACATTTCAGTGGCCGGTAAGGCAGGATTAATCATGTTACCGACTGCTGGTAAGGAAGGAATGAATACTCACATGGTAAAAGTGGCTTAGAACCCTTATAGCCTATACTACTACCGTTATTTACATACATTATAAATTAGCAATTAATTATTTACATTTATGTGGATATAACAACTTATATTTACTTATGAGTTATTCTAAAAATATAAAATGAATATAATAAAAAATTATATTAATTCCCTCAATACGTCAATTAGCATAATTTTTTTTATCTGTGATTTTTCTTTTATTTTTATCTTTTAGACCTAATGAGTGGAGAAATAATTTTTTACTTTCAAATCAATCTAACATTGACTACGCGAATATAAATGGAATCTCCCCAAAGAGAGTTAGAATCGCTGCGGCATATGATATAGGCTGGCCTAAGAGAGGAACCGGTCATGAATATGGCAGCTCATCCGGTACAGCAGCTTTAATTGGACATTTTAAACAAATTATCGGTTTCGTATCATAAAATCACAAATGCTGCATGGGTGATATTAGCCATGATTGTAACGATCATCACCGTAAGCTCAATTTTATAGGTTCAGTTAAAGCAATGGAATCTACAGCTGCAGCTGAATTAGCTAACGACAATGAAATTTTTCAATATGTCATGTTGAATTAGGAGTAATGATTGAAAATAATAATAGTGCATCCATATTAGCTATTCGTACTGGCAATAGTTATACGAGTTTATCAAGCTCTCTAACAAAAACTACACATCCAAAGGCGTAATAAGTTGTATAAAATCTAAAAAGAGCATAAAGAACTAAATTCAAACGCGATAAAATATTGAACACGTTGTTTCAACTACTGTGTATCTCAAAACGTGGTGATACCGTTTTGACGATAAGGAATTTCGATAATAAGGAAGAGATCATGCTTTCACTAATCATTTTAATTGCGGCAGTTGGTGTGGCTATAAAGAGAATTCAGATACGTACAAACATTCAACAATAGGTCATGGATTCCAAAGTAAAAAATTGTTCGATGTACTATACTGCTTGTTTGATATACTAGCTACCAAAGTTGACAGGTATGTAGTTGGAGTATCCAGCAATGCAAACGAAAGTTTGAATACCATTATTGCGAGTAAAGCTCCGAAAGTATCTTATAACGGAAGCTCGGCAGCAAATGATTATCATCTTGCATTTGCAGTCGATAAAAACATCACAGTTGCTCGGAATTTATCTAAAAAAATATCTATATCCATACTACAAAATATTATCATACACTTGATACACAGGCGAACAAAACTCATGAAAAATCATTAACAAAAGGTTTTGAAAGAAACGGCTTGTTTCTTAAAAAAACAAAGAAAGAATTAGGCCATAAAAAGAATGCCTTGAAGGTTCCGAAAATTATTAATCAGGTATAGGACTTTTAAATAATGACGCTCCTCCTATTTTAGGAATCGTCGGTAACTCTTCTGAACTTCCAATACTTCATTTCGTCTTGGAGATTGGAAGTTTCCTATAAAATGCTGACATTTTGCAAATCGCTGCAAAGCACAAAGATAGAACTTTCTCGGTTGACGTAACTCTAACGTAAAATATTAATGAAAAATATAGAGAAGTAACTGGTTTATACATTTTATTTGGCAAATTGTATTTACATAAAGATATTGCTGCTACATTTAGTTTATTGGAAGGTCTACAAGAGTTTTATAACTTTTTAAGTGAACTTGATAAGAAATGTGTTTCAGAGGCATATAATTGTAATCTCGAGCGACGAAGATTACTGAGAGCAATCTACTCGTAAAGCAGTTATAAGCACATTTCTTATAAATCATTTTCTGTCAGTGATACATGGTATTTGGCGAAAGTCACGCGCGAGGGCGCAGCGTCAAGAAAGAAAGAGGCACATCCGCGCGTGCGCGCGCCTTTTTTCAGCTGGCCGCCATGTTGGCCTCAGTTGACCATCATGTCTCGACCTGAAAGCTCGTGTCTCGCCACGCGTCAAGTGTACAGATTTCGTAAGATAAATAAGGAATTAAACCATTGGCATTCACTACCCATTGTCTTTCATTTCCCGCCCATTATTCACATAGTTTTACGGACACTTTGCCTCTTATAAAAAAATTAACAGGAAATACTAAGACATGAGATAATAAATTAGTAAATTTAGCATGTACTTACAATATACCCACTATTAATGCGCATAATGCAATAAACGATGTTGTCATGTTGGAACAAGTAATCATGAAGTTAGTTACTTCGTCAAAAACAATAACTAATAGTGCAATGACATGGATAAAGGTGATTGGCCATGTTAATTACACAAATGAATTACACAGGCCAACAAAATCTTACAAAAGTCATGAATCTGAAACCAGACATGGTATAATAGATTTTCATGCGCTAATTCCGAATCTCGGCTCAGAACTACGCTATCACTCTTGGTTTTCTAGATATCTTAATCTAAAAGCGTCAAAAACATGCTTTTTTTGCTATATTTGACCATCCGTAACATGACGAAGGATTTTCTTTTGCGCAATTCTGATCACAGTTTCTAAAAGAGTAACTATTCAAAATTAATTTTATAATTTTTTCAAAAGAGATATGGTCGTTTGAAAAATGTTGGATCTTAACATTCTGCTATAGGCTTACGTGAATCCATCAAATGTTCTGGTTTGAAAATTACTCAAGAAATGTCACGTGAATTCCTACTGGCTTAAGAAATATCGAGTTTGACGTTATGGGATTTCAGCAAACTGAACACTGTGCTATACGCGGACTCTCGTACTTCTCATGCTGTTATACGTGTGCATTTATAAGCATGAGAAGTGAATATTGAGTTTCATGTTATTATAAGCCTATAGTAGAATGTTCAAATCCAACATTTTTCAAATCTCCATTAAAAAAAATTATAAAATTAATTTTAAATAGTGTCTTTTGTAGCCCAAGAGTTGCTATTTTCGGAACTATGGTCAGAATTGCGCAGAAAATATCCTTCGTCATGCTACTGGTGGTCAAATCTAGCAAAAAAAGCGTATTTTTTTACCCTTTTAGATTAAGATATCTAGAAGACCAAGGGTGATATTGCAATTCTAAGCCCAGATTTGGAATCAGTGCATGAAAATCTATTATGCATACTATGTTTGGTTTCAGGTTCTTAAAATTGGAAACCTTGAGTTCTTTGCTTGAATACTTCGTTCGCAACGCGAAAAAAAATCGTTGCTGCTAAAATTCCAAAGATTTTAAATTTCTACATGAAATACAGGTGATAAATTATCAATACTGCAATTATTTCATATTTTGATTATTACAAAATGTAAATTGGTTGGATATTTTAATAAAAACATATTTTTTTAATAATTATTTTTTTCTTACTGCCTTTCTCTAAATTTCATTGTAGTCAATAATTTCTGGTTAAAGTTAATGAATTATATCGTCATATCATGACGTATGTTGGAGAATTCCAAATATCGCGTGACGGTTAACGATTGCGACGTTACCGTTACCATACGCAATGGTGGTTATTATACAGTGGAAAATGATAATTTCACGGAAAGAATGGTAATGCGAATTTTTCAATTACTGTTGTAGATTTTTTAAGCTTATACAATATTCCTTAGATACTTTTCTCCTGCTGATAATAATTTCATCGAAAACTACTTGTTAATTCTATTTCATATTTCAATTTGTAAGGCATGACAATTCAAAGACCCACAGAGTCTCTTGTAAATAACGGAAACTTTGTTTATTAATATCTCATTAGTAAAGTACCCAAGTATCTAGTAACTTTCACAGGTAATATTATGCGTATTAATAACCTCATATTCAATTTTTCTTCGATATCGACTTGTTAATTGTGAACCTGACCAACATTCTTAACTACTTTTTTTCGATTTATAAAAAGAAAGAAAATAAAACCTCATTAAAATATGTGCCCAAAAATCAGCTAACTGTACCCTCTGAAACATGACCTGATCAGGTAAAAAAGCCAGTCTTCATCATTTTACATATTGTTAGAAAAATTTATCATCTACTTCATTTGTTAAAATTATTAATTATATACTATAAAAATTTTCTATAAAATGTAATTTTCTTGTTAACTTCTATAATTTTAATGTTTTGTTATAAAATCGAAACTTCTGTTAATAAAATCGTAAGTCCATAAATGTTAAAATCAAATAGTTATTTATTATTATTACTAAGTACGTAAAACATTTGCCGATGTAGAAATTGTAACGATTTAAAAAAATATTATTTTAATATCAAATGAATTTTGCCATATTTCACTCATTTATTTATTTCTATTTTATAATAATGACAAATAAACTCAAAAATAAGCGATAAAATGAGAGTATATATTGTAACTGGTACTGCGATGTAATATTATACTAATTCATCAATACAAATTATTATATTGAGTATCTTAAAGTGCTTGTGGTTTTCTGTCTAGATGACAGGTACATCATATCCAACCATGACACAGCCGTTCTCTATGTCACATTCTGGTCCAAATATGTCAACAGTATCTAGTATGCGACAAGATTCTATGGGTAAGTCCATAAACGTTAAATTTATTAATATCTTTTAATCTACAGTGCCGGTCAGCCACTTTTACCCCCCTCCCCCCCACGGGCAAAATCAGTCTAACTTCAAAGTTTTATATCTCTGGTAGAAATTAACGTACAGAGAGACGCGTGGGTGCGTTTGAAAGGTCTTTCGGAGAGCTTTCAAATGATATGACTCACGGTTGCCATCGATTGTTTTTTTAAATTTTGCAACAATTATGCAAAATTTAAAATTCTGAAATTTTTTTATTATTTTTGACAATTAGCCAATTTTGGAAAAAAAATCGTACGAAAATTTTAAGTACACCATTTTTTAGCTATTACCAAGCCCTATCTGAATCACTCATCAAAAATTTATTTTCGTCAAATATGACGCGCGTACGGGCATTTTTTCCTGGAAGTGACAGTTTTTTTCAACATTTTTTATCTCCGTCAAATTGTAACAATCGAAAAAAATTTTATAGGAGAAAAAATGTTTGTTTTTTCACGTAGAATACTGCAATAATTTTTTTTTCGGTATTTCGAAAAATTTTTTTTTCGGTTTTTTTCAATTTTTTTTTCTCTCGGTCGGTACGCTAAAAAGATGAGAAACCACAAAAAAAAATTTTTTTCCACTCATTCAATAATACTACATAACAATTATCGTAAATTACATAAAAAAAAAATCTTTTTTTTTTCGACCTTGAAAAATAATTTAAACCGAAAAAAAAAATTTTTCGAAAAACCGAAAAAAAAATTATTGCAGTATTCTACGTGAAAAAACAAACATTTTTTCTCCTATAAAATTTTTTTCGATTGTTACAATTTGACGGAGATAAAAAATGTTGAAAAAAACTGTCACTTCCAGGAAAAAATGCCCGTGCGCGCGTCATATTTGACGAAAATAAATTTTTGATGAGTGATTCAGATAGGGCTTGGTAATAGCTAAAAAATGGTGTACTTAAAATTTTCGTACGATTTTTTTTCCAAAATTGGCTAATTGTCAAAAATAATAAAAAAATTTCAGAATTTTAAATTTTGCATAATTGTTGCAAAATTTAAAAAAACAATCAATGGCAACCGTGAGTCATGTCATTTGAAAGCTCTTCGAAAGACCTTTCAAACGCACCCACGCGCGTCTCTGTACGTTATTTTCTACCAGAGATATAAAACTTTGAAGTTAGACTGATTTTGCCCGTGGGGAGGTAAAAGTGGCTGACCGGTACTGTAAGTTAACCGCATAATTTAATCAACTTTCAATCTTATCTTTATCGTAAGGAAATAGAAAAATAAAAACCATATAAGATAAGAAATATATCTCAGTTCATATCCATGACCCAATTCAAACTATTTTGTGAATTATTCTTTAAGTAAAAGTTCTAAATAAAATTATGTAGAGAATAAAACAGAGAATCACATATAGACAAATATATGATCTCCTACATAAAACTGCCTGGTGGTTATTACTAAAATTTCTGCATGAATTTATGAAAATGTGAGTAAGCAAACTATTTCCCGATAAACCGTTATGGCACATTTAAATTTATCCTATTAAATATATATTATATTAGGTCTAGTTAAATCGAGCTGTAGCTACAGTGGAAAGCAAGAGAAATAAAGAGAACGTGTCGTTGTGCATAAATGTTTGGACGTATCTTTGTTATCCGAAGAGACATACTACGCGGCATCGGTCTCTACGTAAAATTCTTACCATCTTGATGCAGTTTATATAATCTGTACTACATTATCGATTGAGGAGAGTAGGTGAGAATATTTGATTAATTTTTTTTTGTGTCCCTCAGTCGCTTTCGTGTTAAGCCTACTTCAAGTTAGAATCGATACAACTAAATAGAAAATAAAAAGAGTAGGTAAACTTGAGAGGCAACAGGTCAGAGAAGCCTCAGATAATTGATCTGAATTTCATGAACTATGAGATGAGCACTCTTAGATCAAGGGCAAAAGCCTCCGCCCACCCAATCTCTAATGCGTTTTGATTAAATAAATTTTATTATTGAATCTCATTGAATTAAAATTATTTATATAATATAATTTATTAATATATGTTGTGACGGTAAACGTCAAGTTAGCGCTAACCATTTAACTTCATTGCTGTCTGTGAGGGCAGCACCTCCCGGGGGGACAAAATACGTAACGAAGGAATTCGGCACGCGAGCAGACGGAACGCACGCGGTAGAATTCGAACCAGTGAAGCCTAGATCATCCTAGCGTCCGCCCGCTTTCGTTACCGCCATCGACAATTCACGTGCCCTTGACATCCACACGCTTCAAAACAGCAGTAATTGGTGATCCCGGATTGCAGCCGCCAGGGAACTACTCAGCTACGAGCCAGAGGCCAGATCGAGAGAGAGAGAGAGTGTGTGAGGTTTCGCCATCGAGGGCGAAACCAGTGTGTGCGCGCTTTCGCGTCCCGCGAATAAAAACAATATCAAAAACTGTTCCGTGCTGTGCGACCTGCCGTAGTTTTTCTCCGATCGCCTGCAAGTAAAAGGTAAGCTGGCCAGCTTAATTTCGTGATCGCGATATTACGAATAACGATTTAATTCTAACATTCGATGCGTGCATGTAACGGCTCTAATAACAAGGAGCAGCGAGCGTACCGGCAAAGCGTGTTGTCGACGAGCGAGCGTGCATGTAAACAAACGCGCGGGCCGATCTTTTGTGAATTTTGAGGGACAATAAAAGATCCGATCTACATTACTAACAAGTGTTTTCATTGATTCTCTCATTTCACGTAGCTTCCACTCAACTTAGTATAGGTTATTAATGATAATCGGTTGACTGGCGCATACTTTCTCGTGCTCTCCCGGAATAGTAGCGAGCATCGACGGTTTACGCGCGTCCCTTAACGTAATTGCGCGATATAAATTTATTAAACGGTAATACCCCGTTACATGGCGCCCAACGTTAAAGAACCTACGGTGTTTTTGATAGTGCAAAACACCGGTTCTTAATATTAACCTTGCGCTCGGTCAACCAGTAGCTCAGGTGGCAGTCAAGTGTTGTTGTGCGCACTCGACACCGAAAGCCACAATAGTAAACAAAGCCCGTTAGCTAGCTTGCGAAGGCCCGCCGCGGCGAAAAATTGTAAACATTGACTGTGAACGCGTGCGAGTGCGACCGAAAGATTCTCGAGCATAAACACCAACGAATTTTGAAAGTTGCCGTAAATAATATTATACCCGTTGGCCCGGGAAAAACTAACACCGGCAATTTTCAAACGGGATTAATTTAATTGAATAATCTTATTTGATATCATATTGTCGTAACGTAAAAATTTTTTTTAATATTATTAACTGCGGTTATTGGTGTTTACGCACAACGCTCATTACAATATTTTAGATACTAACTCACACAGCCGTGCTAACAAACAGTTAGTACGCCTGATAGGTAGGATCATTATATTGCGTATTGACGAGCAAAGAATCTTTCGGCAATTAATCCGTAGAGCGCCCTTGATCAAGCCCAGTACTGACAAATAAAATTTTTTTATTTTTCAATTCGGCGCACGAATTTTAATATAACACTCGCACGCGCGTAACATACCTGTAAATTTACATAAAATAGACGCAAGCAACCTAACAGACAATCATGGACCGCATTCAAAATGAAATAGAAAATTGGGTATTGACGCTCCAGGAAGAAGAAGTCGAAGAATACCTCGAGAACCTGGAGCTCAAAACAAGCGGAACCAAGCTCTCGAGAGCTGCACGTCTACAAAGCTGGTTACTCGGGGACTATTCCGCAGCGGATTTCGCGGAAACCGACAACCAGAACAGCAGCTCAGCCAAAAGAGCCGCCCTACGCTCGGAGCTATTAGTATCCATATGCCAGGAACACACAGCATCCGAGCAAGAGGGAGAACATCCGCTAGCCCAATTACTGCAGAGTGCGGACGTGATATCGCGAGTTCAAAAAACCACGATAAACATCGTGAATGACCTCGACAGCGGAGAAAAATCAAATAGTAATAAGGAAATTACTATTACGGCTGATGATGGCAGCCAATTCAGACTCTCGCCGGCATTCGCGATAATGGTTCAAGACCTCATTTTCCGGTGCAGGGAACATGAGAGGAAATGGGAGGTACAAGACTCACGAAATAGAAATGCGTCTGACCTAACCCAAATAATGCAAGAAATCGTCCAGACCAACATCAGGGTGCAGGAACACATGGACAACCTAGCAACCAGGATTACGGAACTGGAGAATGCCGTAAACAAAATTACGCGGCAAGACGAGTCGAACAGTTCCAATGAGGAACCGCAACCCGAAAACACGCGTAGGAGCGTCGCATTCCAAGACACGTTCACATGCCACTACGACGCAAGACTACCCCAGAGCACTCCAGCCGGACCCGGACTGAGGCCCACGGGGGCCCCCGGCAGGACACCCCGCCGAACGCCCCCTTTCGGAGAGGGTGGACAGCATCAACTCGGTGGAGTTAATGCTGAAGTGAACAACCACCCGCCGAGCATGTGGTCATCCCAACAGACGTCAAGCCCGTTATCGACAACAAGGGACGTCGGCCGCATCGTCAGGGGGTGGAAGCTCAGGTTCTCCGGAGAAGGCAACGCGAGCATCGACACCTTCTTAACAAGGTTAGACAACTCGAGGAGCAGCGCGGACGAAGACGAGATGCTCACGGCTGTCTCCGAGCTACTCGCCGGTCCTGCCCTCGTCTGGTTTGAGGCGATGCGGAATGAATGGTTCTCTTACGCGGATTTCGAGGCAGACGCCAGAGCGTGGTTTGGAACTAGCAGGCAACAGCAGCAGCGTCTAACCAAAGAGGTCCAAGGCCGATATCAGGGCCCAGACGAACCCGCGAACGTATACATCGCGAACCTCATGGGCCTAATGAGCCGGCTGAACCCTAGAATGACGCACGAGAGCCAGCTGGACCTGCTACATACCAACCTCCTACCGGAAATCCAAAGCCAGATACGGAGGTCAGAAGTGGACTCCGTACGAACCCTAAACGTCCTGGC